TAGGAACAACCCTATTCCAACTTAATTCATAGAAAACTTCCCTTGACAGCCAGGGGAAATAAGATCATTTTCTGTACTATTTATTTGAAGTAAAATTTATTACTTATTTCTAAGTAATTATTTATTTAGAAATAAAGTAATTTTCTGGGCTATTTATTCAATGAATTTATTGCATGTCCAAGATCCCTGACCTCATGATGCTCTCAGTCTAATGCAAAAGACAGACCAATAAACCACTAACTGGAAAGATAAGTGGTATAATAGAGGCAAAGAAAAATGCTGTAAGGAGAGGGAAGAGTTATAAGCTTGACCTCAGGCCTTGGCTCCAACATCTGTTCCTCTGGGAAGCTTTTCTCATCATCCCGGCCAATGCTGCACTTTCGCTGGAAAGTGTGTGTGTGTGTGTGTGTGTGTGTGTGTACACACACAAGTTTGCTATCTCTTTCCCTCTAACTGTGAGCATCTTGAGGGAAGAAACTGTACCCCTAGCACCTGAAACAACAAAAATATGCTCTTTATCAACAACTATTTGAGATCAATGTCCCCGAGGTGTGGGAAGAGATTCCCAGAGAGGTGATATGTGAAGCAGGTCTTAAAGAATCTCGTAGTCTGCCAGGCAGAGAAGGCTTTGCAGACCTAAGATTCAACGTTCAACTGCCATGTCCAATCATCATAGATGCCTTTAATGCATACAGCTTTTGACTTATTTTTGCAAATGTATCTTATAACTCACAGTGAGGAAAGAATGTAATCCCATAACAAGTTCCAAGAGCTAAGTTTCTATTACTACTATAAAAATCTAACATTCAAGGGGGAAAAAATCCTAGAATATGGGTTCTTAGAGACTTATTTTTACTTAAAACTCTCTCAGTAACTATATTTTAGTTTAACACCTTCAAAGAAATTGACCAAGCCCAGCAGATCAATAAACTAGATTTAGTAAGAAAACCTCAGAAACTTAAGTACTTAATTTCTTTAGAACTTTACTTTTCTTAAATTCAAATTAATTCATGTGAATTTTCAAGTTAACTTGAAGAATGGAAGTATCACTTATCAAAATCATAAAAATTGCCCTGGCTGGGTGGCTCAGTTGGTTGGAGCATCGTCCCATACACCAAAAGGTTGCGGTTCAGTTCCCAGTCAGAGGTGCATGCAGGAGGCAATCAATGCTCCTCTCTCTCTCTCTCTCTCTCTCTCTCTCTCTCTCAAATTAATAAAAACATGCTCAGTAAGAATTATTAAAAAAAAAATCACAAAATTCTCTCACATGCCAAAAAATTCAATCAGCTTATTTACTACTGACTGAGGGATAACAGGCCGAGATAACACCAAACGACATTTTACTTTTGGAATGGGAGAGGCAGAGACTGGTGGCTAGTAATTATTTTGGCTCCTGGCAAACACTTCACCAGAGCTACACACCCACTCCCTGCTTGAGAGGAGGACAGCTACAGCCTAGTCAGTTTTCTGGAAGGTTCTGAGTAGGGAAAGGCAGCCCAGGCCCTCATATACTCAGTAAGTAGCCACACAGGTAGAGAAAGAGCGTGTCCTTTTAGTCCTGAAGGGATCTGACTTGGAGAGGGGATCTGCCAACCTTTCAATCTTTCCTTGAACAGAAAAGGACACTGAGGCCCAGGGAACTAGGTGAGTTTTTCTCAAATCCACAATCAGTAGAACCCAGGGATCTTCACTTGGCCAGCCATCATTTCTACTATCCTTGGCCATCTCTCGTTAGGACATCAACATTTTACAAATACAGCCAAAATGTTCAGTAGGTGAGAACACTCACGGAACAGAGCTGAGACTTGGAGTTCTGACTCTTAATCTGGAACATGAGAACTTAAGAGTGAGTCATCAGGACAGCTTCAGTTATGTATCAGAGATGATACAAACTCGACTGGCTCACAGCTTCACCCAACTCAGTCTCATTTTCCCCAATATTGACGGTTATGACAAACAGTCCTCCTCTGAGAGAAGGTTTTAAAGAATAAACAGGACTACCGAGATACCTAGCACCAACCAGTGAAATTAAGCTAGCAAGGTGAGGTACACCAATAGGCCTAGCATAGCCTGCTGGCCAACTGTAGCACAGGAGTGCCAGCCTACACCAGCACACTGTTTTTAGTTGCCAGAGACTCTCAAAGTCAAGGGCAGAAAAAAAATCTGGGCCATGCAAATTTCTTTTGTTATCTGAGTTCAATGTGATTGGGGTTCTGAATGAGTGTTCATGCCATGGGCAGTCTTGAGCCATCGCTTTCTCTATTCGTCACTGAAAATATTTTAGGAAAAACAATGTTTCCTAAACTACAAACTTCATGGGACAGAAGAGGCAGAGAGGAAGAGAGTCAACCATAATGGTGTAAAAATAATATTAGAGAATCTTGTAGTCAATTTTGACAGCATGGGCAATATTTACAGACCTATTTTTACTGATCAAATAAAAACTATAAGTTCTTCTGTGTGATAAATCTGAACACTGGAGCACACAATTTTAATTAAAAGTTGAAACTATTTAAGTTCTCTAATAATTGATATTAGAGCATAGATGGGTTGTTTTTTTTTCTTAAAATCTCTCTTGCAACAGGGTACTCCACTCATTACTGGAATATTCAAGACCTAGACAAAGATCCATTGTCAGAGAGAATGCCACTATGACAAAAGAAGTGCACAAATTTTCTTCTTTTGCAGTAACTGAATACTGCTGGAAACAAGCGATCAATTGGCTAGACTAGGAAAACACTTCTGTTGTGCAAATATTTGTTGCATCATTATTTATCATATGATGGTATAATTTGGACTCTATGGGTCTCAACCTCATGGGAAGAAAATGTTCCAACCCTTCCATGTACAGCTGAAACTACAGTTTGAGAACTGGACTCAGTGGACCGTGTACTGCCTAGGCAATGACAAACTCAGTGTACAATATATGTTCTCATTAATTAATGTGCATAATGGTTATCTTGACCAAATTCCCCCTATGATGATATTCATCTTTGGAGTACATTAATTTCACGTAGCAAATGTACTGTTAAAATTACTTCAGAGGAAGGTACCAAAATCTTCAGACCACCCTAGGCACAGTATCCCAAGGGCATGCCAGTAATGGGTGTTTAATCCATAGGCATTGCCTTGATCTTTCCATGGGGCTGCTACTCCAGTGTTGGGCCAGTCAGTCAATCTGTTACTCAGTTTTGAAATATCTAGACAAATGTTGTTCTTAGGTTTCTAACACCATAAAGATACGGAGTGATAAAAGCCTGTTTAACAATGTATCTTTATTTTACATCGACTCCTCCAGTTGGCATCACCTCCTCAAGTAGCCTTTAAAACCAAAACACACAACTGACCAAGAGAATGTGTGAAGTCGCTAACACACACATAGGCTGAAGAGACAACTTAAGTTTGGCTGGGTCCTCTTCTAGCCAGACAAGGGAAAACTTCTGGCAACAGTGATCAAATAGAGAAACTCAACCACTTCCACGACTCCTCAGTGTGGCCTCATCAGTGTATGAGAGGTGAACTGTAGAAGAAAGAGCATCTACTGCAGGGATTGTGGGACAAGTCATGTTACTTTCCTCGTGTGTGTGTGTGTAAAATGGGCACAGTGCCTTCAGAACATAACATAAGAACAGGATGAAATGATATAAGAAAAACAGTTGGCTCAAAGTTTAATTTCCTCTCCCTGCCAAGCCAATGTTGCTATGACTATAGCAAATGTGCCATTTGCATGAAGAAAGATGCATGAGGGCAGACTGTATGTAAACATGCAGGCAGCAAATACTTGGGTTCTGTCTGATCTTTACAGGTGATATTTAGATCTGGCATACCTTGTTTTATTGGCATTTCACTTTATTGTGCTTCACAGGTGTTGTGTTTCTTTACAAATTGAAGGCAGGACCCTCCACCAGCAAAAAGATTACAACTCACTTTATTGTACTCCTGGCTTTATGGTGGTGGCCTGGTACCGAACCTGCAATGTCTCCTAGATATGCCTGTACTTACTTAGTAATGCTTTTTTTTTTCTTTAGAAGAAAAGAAGAGTAAGTATTGCAGGAATTCAAGGATGACTCAACATACAACCAATTAGTCCCTTTGAGTGAAGCATGGTTGACACTTGAGTGAAGCAGTTGCCAAGCAACTGCTGATTCCAATGGCCTGTAACCATCATCCTTACTAGCTAATTTCAACAGAAGAGAGGGCAAGAGAGATTGACCTTGATTCACCTCATTACCAACCAAATGTAGAAAACCCTTTAGAACAGTGGTTTTCAACCTTAGCTGCACATTCGAATCACCTGTGGAGCTTTTACAACTCGGGATGCCCAGGCCACACCCCAAACCAATTACATCCTAACCTGGAACGGGTTGGGGGGGAGGGGGGAAAGGGGGGGTTAGGCACCTATATTTTTTAAAATCTCCAGTGACCCAAGATGCAGCCAAGGTTAAGAACAATTGCCTAGGATCACCCCTCCTGAGCTCATATAACTTCTGCTGGGAGTCCAACCAGGAAAGCCAACCTAGAGCTTTTCACAGCACAACCTTCTGAATAGAGCAGATACAACAGGGTCCCTCCCACAGGCTGGCACCACAGGTGTCTCCACTGAGGTCCACACACAGGGGGCTGAGCAAACAGCTTAGTAGCTAAAGGGTTACCCAGATCCTCACTGGGGAGCCACCTTTTCAAATAGTTTGCAATTAAAAAACAAGTTCGCCAATTTTAAGAGATGTCACCGAAGTCCAAAGCCCTTTAGGATGTTTTCTTTGTTTTGTTCTTTTCTTTTTTTTATAAGGCAAATCTCTTGGGAAGGACAATCAGAGGATAGCGCGCTCCACACAGAGCTTAAGGAAAAGCAGAGATAACGTACAATTCCCGTGGCCTAGAAGACACCCCGTAG